TTTCCCACCTATTTCAAGGTGCTGTTTTCTGCCGAGACTGTTGCACATTACTTTAGTTTTGTGAATATTGATTTTCAGGCCTACTCTTCCGCTTTTTTTGTCCAGTTCAGTAATCGTGAGCTGTAATTCGTCTCCTGAATAACTCAAAGCAATGTCATCAGCGAATCGCGAATTACTAAGATATTCTCCATTAAATCTTATCCCTAACTCTTCTCAATATAGTGCCCTGAAAACCTTTTCCAAACACGTGGTGAATAGAATTTAAGAGATCTGTCTCCCTGCCTTACACCATTTTATTGGGATTCTGTCACTTTCTTCATGGAGAATTACGGCGGCTGTAAATTTGCTGTTGATTTCTTCTAGTATGTTTATGTAGGGTTCGCCGATGCCCTGATTCCGTAGTACCGGCATTACTGCTGACGTCTCGACTGAGTCAAACTTCTTCTCGTAATCCATGGAAGCTATGTATAGGGGTTGGTTGTATTCCACACATTTCCCTATTATACTTGATTGATATTATAAATATGGTCTATTGAGGAGTAGCCTGTATGAAATCCTCCTTGGTCATTTGTTTTATTGAACTCTAATGTAACCTCAATTCTATTAGCTATTATTTTTGTAAATAGTTTGTAGAGAATGGACAGTAACCTGATCGGCCTGTAATTTTTCAAGTCCTTGACGTCTCCTTTTTTATGGCTTAAAATAATGTTGATGTTCTGGTACCCTTCGCGTCAAGAGGCATTTCGTACACAAGGCTACTAATTTTTCTAACACAATTTCTCCGCCATTTTTCAGTAGGTCTGTTGGCACCTCATCCTACATCATCCAAAACGATTGCTCGCGACGCACAACCGTTCACTGGCCACCCCGTATTATATGCAGCCACAACATCGCGCGTTCAAAATTCAGTCAAAGGAATCTTTACTTGGCTTACGCTTGACGTTGAAGGCAACGCTTTTCCTTCATTCAATAAATAAGAATAATTAAGACGAAATAACAATTAGGCATTCCCAAACCATACCCGATTTCGCAACATTCACGCAATGCCTCCCCCCCCCCTCACTTTGCGACGCATTTGCTGGAGTTCTCCCCCTGTGAAGATGCGGGCAGCAATTGTTTCGGGCTCGCGCATGTGGAATGGCGAAAATGAGGCCGCTCCTCAAAGCGCGCAACGTGGTCTCCTTTCAAGGTTGACCCCGTTAGCACCGTTTCTAGGCACGGCGGCTAGGCGGCGAGCACTCAGTTGGAACCGCAAATAGACATGAAGAAGTAAGTTATACATGAAAAAAAATGTAAAGAATACCTAGTACTGAATGCGATTCAACACCGGATCTTCTCTGTGACAGTCGAGTATTATACCACAGAGCCCCGCTGGTCCTTGAAACTCCTTTGCAAAAAGATCGTATATCACATCGAGCAAGGAATCGAGCTAACTTATGTAATATACCATGAAAGAATAGTGAAATAACAACCTGTAGTCACAGTGCTATTTGCGCAACGTGTTTGTGGCTTAATGCTTTTTGTCCAGGGCAGGGGCGCCAGCCATAATTCATCTTCATCCGTCACATGCAGCATCAACAGAGCGTACATTACACCCTAAATGGGTGTAGCGTGCACCTCGCTTATCCATAAAAGAACGAATAATGGCGCAGGGAGTGATGTCCTACTTCACAAAAGTTAAGATTCACGCTTAGTGGATACCTTGCGGAAATACAGCCCCACCGCGGTGGTCTAGTGGCTAAGGTACTCGGCTGCTGACCCGCAGGTCGCGGGTTCGAATCCCGGCTGCGGCGGCTGCATTTCCGATGGAGGCGGAAATGTTGTAGGCCCGTGTGTTCAGATTTGGGTGCACGTTAAAGAACCCCAGGTGGTCGAAATTTCCGGAGCCCTCCACTACGGCGTCTCTCATAATCATATGGTGGTTTTGGGACGTTAAACCCCACATATCTATCTTGCGGAAATACAAAACATCAAACGCGGTTGGCCTTGCCCTAACACGAAGCTGTGCGCAGAGTTTGCATTGGACAGTACCGTAATCACAGGGTAATCTTTTTATCATGGTAGTGTAATAATTTAAACTTATTTTGAAGGGAATTCGCGTGGATGAACAATCATCCTTTTCGTCCTTGCGATCCAAACCCACAACCACGGAATTAGGGCTACGAGTTGCGCTGGCTAGCACTTCCAGGAATGGAACTCGCATAGATAGCTAACAAAGTGGACGAGACAGCACCTTTCATCGCAGCGTAATTGTTAGAACATCAGACACGCAATTCAACAGTTGTTGGGATCCTAATTCACGATAAAAACGTTTTCTCGCCTCTTTTATTCTTTCAATTTAGACCATATTTTCATGTACTGCACTTGAAAAAAAAAAAGTTGTGTACGCATGCTTTCCTTGGCTTCACTGTTTGTTGCTTTTCTAACATAGAAACGAGCCCCTCAACCAATCATTTCCTTTCATCAAATATGTACTGAGAATGGTTGGGAGAAAGTGATTCTTTCAAATTCAGTTCTTGATTTTTACGTGCCAGAACCTCACGCTCCAGAACGCACAACATGTTTCCTATGAATGGGGAGACTATATTTTTCCGACCGAGACGAAATGCCTGATTGATCACGTTACCGGCGAGATTACATGTCCAAACACGACGGAATGTCCAACTGAGACTGTATATCCAATGAGCCCAGAGGCACTTTGTTCCAGAGATCTATGATGCAATCATCATTCATGCGTCTGTCCCGGCTCCACCTCTCCCTCGGGGTTGTGAGGCAACGATTTGTTTCGCGCAGACTAGAAGGGCACCAGGCGCCGAGCAGACATAGCTTGTCTCACGACTACAAGCCACTGAGACTAAAAATTTTCTCCTCGGACAAAGGGGCTACCCTTTGGCACAGCAACTTTAGTCGACGCACGCAAAGTTGACGTACTCAATAGGAATAGCGCACAGTTGAAATCCAGCGGAGTACTACACGGACACGAGGGCAACCGCTCGCGATTCAAGGGGCCAGCAACAGTCACTTCCCCGAACCGTACACCGCCTCATCGCCTCCACAAACAACGCACGCCGTGAAAGAGATCACAAGGCGAAATCTCGAGAATTCGAGAAGTCAATGCGGCTACCACCGGCGCGCGTTCCTTTACGCAGTAGAACCTTCCGTCCGTTCCCTGGCCTTCCTCATGCTGCGCACACGTGAGTCCTGCGGAATATTCGCCAACTCGACCGTGGGCTGATATGAGCGGGCGACGACGGAGAGTCGGGCAGTCGGCGAAGAGCGGCCGCTGACGGAGGGAACAACCAGCGCTGGAGTCTCTGAGGATGGTTAATCGGAAGAGAAACATTCGGGACATTTAGGAACTGAACATGATTGGTGAATATTTCAAAACCATAAGTGTCCTGAAGATTTTCTAATGCAAGAGACTGCATATGCAGCGCGAGTTGTTTGTTCCCGTTGTTTAAACACCATCGCACTTATATTGTGAGTTACATAGTGATCTGACTTGCTGCTTCTGCGTGTATGTACATGTGTATGTAATACCTGTACGGCCTTAACTAAAAGCATATTTTGTTATCAACTCTAGGCTCTGACTCGGTCTTTGGACCATAATTGGCGCCCGCTGGTGCACTAAAAGGGCTTACCCTCAATTGTGCGACCTTTCGTGGTGTGTTCTGGAAGGCCGAACGTCAGCCCTTGGTATCTGCCCGGCGATTGCCTTCCCATTTAATGGGATTAGCGACAATAGTGGGCCGTCTATCTCTTTGTCTGAAGAATCTACTTCATTCTTTTGGACCTTGCACATTGCCAGCGAATGTGATGTTTGCTCTCTTGCTGAGCATAATTTTTCGTTGTAGTTGTTGGTTGATGTTACGATTTTCATATATTACCTCGTTTCTAAAATAAATAGCACTTGAAAGTCAGTGCTTCGACTGTTCTGTTCTTTCGTCTTTGTCGTTCTGTGCTGTCAACTTTTAACGTATGTAAACGTAAGTAACCAACTAACGTAAGTAACCAATTAACGTAAGTAACCAATTAACGTAAGTAACCAACTTACCCACAGAATAACTCTCAAGTGTGACTTGCGTAAATTTTCCGAACTCCACGAATTGCTTCCAGCGAGGCGTGAAACTTTCACTAATGCTGTGGATTGTACGTTTCAATACATTTCCCATGGAGTTTGTATTTTATCAGGGTGTATATTAGTGACTGGTCTACAAAATTACCCTGTGGCCGAAAGACCCTAGGTGTTACAGTCCGTGCGACCTTTCAAAGGCTGAACGCGCCCATGCTTGCAGCTCCTGATGGATACGAGCTGGCACGCAGCATGAAGTGAGGGGGACCTTTACGGCTTTTAAAAGCGAATGCACTTCTTAGTCGGGCTACGTCAGGCGGTCGTCGGGATCCGTCCACCACCCTCTCCCATAGCAACAGCTGCGGGAGCTCGCGTCCTTAGCAACTGGAGCCCTCATCATGTCGCGCTTCGGCGTCGGCAGCTTTCGGCAACAGCTGCGGGCGCACGCGCTTATCCTCGCTTCTAGCAACCGGAGCCCCCATCTCCTTGAATTGAGCGTGACTTGCCACCGCCTCAATGCAGTGCGTTTGAAACGTGTTTGTAACGTTTGTGCTGCCAGCGTTGGTGTAGCTTTTTTTTAGCCGTGCACGTTAGCTACTAGAACTGGAAACGCACACCGCGTTCCTCGCGACAGAAAAACGCCACGTGTGGTGAACGTTACTACTGGCAGCACGGTGTAAAAAAATATTCTTTTTGTTATTCTTCTAACACTATTTTTTATTCTTTTGACATTTTTAACGTTGGTTTCTTACGTGCGAAACGCCGTTATGGACGCAGCGCAATACATTCGCATTTCTTCACGATTCCCTTTGGGGAGGTGGGGGAATTTTTTATTGTGTAGATTGTGCTAGGAATTCGCCGTTCTGTTTACCTGGTGTCGCGTAAGCCACACCGAGATCACTGAAAAATCTTGCATGGCGAATCGCAGGTGTTGCATGGACAGTGGCCGCCTTCCTGCTGGTCAACTCTGCTTTGGGCGCCGGGGTGCTCAACTATCCGGCTGCCTACGACCGCGCTGGCGGCATTCTGGCGGCGACACTGCTCCAAATAGTAAGCGAATACTACTATCTCCTTCCTCAAATCGTAACCCATATCGAGCTGCACTACACCGCTTCTTGATGACATGCGTACTTATTAGCACTCACTTGTGCTGTTCTTTTGCTGCTAATATTGCATCCATATTCAGCTTTTGTTATCTCCAGCCTTGTTTTCCGCTTACACCAGTTCAGAGTGTATGTATATCCGGCTGGTCGATAAAACCGGTGTATGCATGGCCTTGGTGACGAAAAACAAGGCGCCAAGAAAAGTAGAAATATGTCCATAAAGTCCCCTGCGCAGGAGCCTTGTTCACAATGAAACAATCACAACAGTGTCACTATACTTTTAACGCCATCCTATCAAACAGGGTCAAACAGTGCCCATACGATTAGATTGGCGTAAGAACACCGCTACTTTTGTATCGCGTCTGCGCAGGGGTTCGAATCGTCAGTTTCTCGCGAAGCCTTGAGGTACTTTTTACGTGGTGCTGGCGGAAGCGCCCACCTATAGTCTTAACGCATGGTCCGTGAACACATGTTCTGTAAGGGCACGGGCGTCATCTGTTTTGTTCCTGACGTTATTACAGTGCTCTCGTATATTTCTCTTGAAGTTGCAAGTTTCTGCAGTTGTTTGTTTCTGCAAGTTTCTGACTTTGTAAACGACGCCTGGGAAGTTCTTTCAACATATCCTTAACATCCGTGAGGCTGCTTCCGAGTGAGACTTGTACATGTGAGATTTTTTACATCGTATAGGAGCGCAAAATTCTCGCGAGCGCCTCACTGAAGCCCGGCACATGCGGTATCCTATATGCTTTCCCTACTGTTTTCACGTGCTCTCTTCTGAGCGCAAATTCGCTTTCGTCCCGCTGAACACGCGAATACACGATGATCCAAGCGGCAGGGATTAGCCAACGTGCGCCCTAAACGGCCCCCCCCCCTTTTTTTTTTCTATGGAGAGAGAGATTTATTTTGGTCGAGTGCCACCACTGTAACCGAGGGCGTGGAATCACCGTCACATATCTTAAAAATGTAAGTGCTCTGCGCAGCGCAACCGGGATTGATTTCATATTATGCGGGCTTTTTATTCCTCAAAGCCTGTGTAAAGCTACATTCGGAACCAAGGAAAGCAGTTATACACTTGATTTGCAACATAGAAAAATAAAAGGAATGCTCGGCAGCATATGTATAGTTCACACAAAATGATTCAAAACATTGTCACGTTTCAGGGCATGTGCATTGTTGCACTTTCTAGAAGTATAACACGCATGACAGGATTTTCATTGCGGAAGCTAGATGCAATGTTGACGGCGAAGACTTTCACTTTGTTTTAAACGAGTCATGGAACCACCCTGTTGTCGCAGCTCATGATCTGCCTGAATGTGGTGACCATGCTGATCCTTGGCTACTGTTCTGACCTGAACGGGGACAACACGTTCCATGACGTGCTGCTGACCACGTGTGGCCGGCGAGCCCAACAGATTGCGGCCATCTCGATCTTGCTTTCGTGCTATGGCATCAGCATCACCTTCCTCATTGTCATCGGCGACCAGTACGACAGGCGTAAGATCCCTTCTTTCTTTTGTACCGTAAAGTCAATGGGATGCGATACAGAATGTTGACCTTGTGGCAAAACCTCGCAAGTTCTGTTTAATTAGAACACGCTGTTTTGTTGGTGCATGTGGTACACAGTACCCTAATGCGTCGGCCCTGATACTTGCGAAGATTGTGATACGCGTCTACTTGAGTGACGCTCATATTTTGAGGCCGAATCGAAGTCCGTCACAGTTTAAAATCTTTTCAACCAATGCGCTGCGGAAAAAAAAAACCTCGACGAACAACAAAAGGTATGTGTGTTGTAAGATGCTGCTTCCGTATCAGTATCCAGTTCTAAGCTGTTCAAGTGAGCAATTGCTAATCTTTTTCTTGACGGTGCGCTTCGCAAATCATGCACCCATGAAGGTCTCGTAGCCTTGAAAAACAAAAAGTACATCTAGCATGTTACACTGGCCATGTCCTTGTTTCAGCCGCATAGAGTGCGTTAAAAAAGCAAAAAAAAAAATGACGCATGCTCGCGCATGCAGTTTTTTTTCACAGTGAAAAAGGTTGTCGTGCTGTATATACACAAAGTGCCACATGTTTTAAGGAGAATTGAACGGAAGGTAGACGTCTTTTTGCTCCACAGATTGTATGCAAGGCCACATACCCGTCAACTAAGAGACGTGCGTGCGGAGTGTTTAAGAAAGTACCAGTCTCCATGTGTATCTCGCGTACAGAATTTGGTGTATCGCTTCCCATTCTTACAGCTGGGCTAAGAGAATATAAGCATTGTGCCGATATCGGGGTGTTCACATTATTGTGCATTGTAGTGATTGCAGATGCGAACCTTTGTTTAAAGAGTGCACTGATTCATATAAGAATAAAAATACGTGAGAGATTGTTGAAGCCGCCCTCATAGAGCCGGCCGTTGATAGTTGCGTCAGCTGCATGCTCTTCATATAGGCCTATCTGGGAGAGCTTTGACGGGTGTTGACCGAGCCTTTTTCGCGCACGGATCCATGTACTGTTCTTACAATGAACATTCACCCTAAGGTTAGTGCTCGAGCCGCTGTGCCTTTCTCGTTCATTTGGTGACTTTTGATACCCAAAAAGCCACTTTATTGACAAACATGCATGGATCGCTATAATTGAGCAGAGGAGAAAATAGCAGGGTTTATAATTTAGCTTTCCGAGAAGATTGCATTACGTTCGCTTGAGTCTGTAGTGTAAATATGACATGAAGGGGAACAGAACCCAGATTTCGCGTAAAAATGTTGCCTAGTATGCAATATGCTCGCCTGCTACCGATACTGTACTCGTCAAGTGATGTGCTAACACCAAATCGAAATGCAAAGATTAGGCACGAAATACTTCTCATCGCTCTACTTTCGGAGAATGGAACGCAATCGGTAAAAATTAGTTTGCGGTTGCGTGATTCAGTTATAAGACGTTCGGAGCTCGAGACATTCGAAGACATACCGTGCGCTATTTATTCGTAGTACACTAAAGTAGAGCAGATTCCTTCATACACATTCGAACAGAAGCAAAAACGACGAGTTGAAAGACAAACCGACGCGCTAATCGTGAGTCATGTGCCTCAAGCTGCCGTGCATGCGCAATGACATCGTGCATACTCGAGAAATACCTAGTATACTTACACGTTCTCGCAGTGTTCGCATCGCTGTTTGGGCCCGTCTTCTGCCACGAGTGGTACTTGAACCGCCAGTTCACCACATTCGCCACGGCCGTGCTGTTCATCATGCCGCTGTGCTACTTCCAGCGTTTGGACTTCCTCAAATATGCCAGGTTTGTGTATAGCTATATAGCACACAAGTTGCCGAAACGAGATATTTATCGATTTTTTTATGCAGGAACCGTCGGTAATGAGCGTAAATGAGATCGTACATGCGAATGCTTCCAAAATGCTATTCGCGTTAGTAAATTGATAGGTTTTCTGACTACCTATATTTGCGGCGCTGAAAGTATGTGCGCTGTTTTATTGCAGAAGTTAAAGCAATCCTGCTCTATGCCTGGCTTGAGGTGGCATTATCTGATACATTAATTCACGATCGTTACGACCAACGGCCCACTGTGTGAACTCCGCGGTGCAGTGAAGTAATAGCACATTTTCTCAGCGAGTGCACCCATTTCGACACTTACAGCAGCCCTCTCGACCGCATTGGGCAAGCTGAACCGCCTTTCCAGTGGACAATATCCTAGGGCACTGGTCGACGAAATTTTCTGAAACTTCGTATACTACTTCTATGGCACCCACAGAAGACAATGTACACTTTTATTGATTAGAAACTATGTAGGACCCAGAAGACTCTCTCAAAATCTATGACGTTGCGGTGTTTGGCGCCTGAATCGCTAGGTGGTGTCTCCACCCGCAATTTTTTTGCATGTTTTCTCGATTACTAATAGTCATTTCGCGGTAAAAGGGGTGTTATCGCGATCGTGAAGTTGTACTTCACTAATATGCGAAATGCCGTTTTGCTTTTTAGTGCCTCTTTACGACACCCATATTCCTTCCGGTCGTGGCGCAGAGTTATTGTAGAAATGTGTATACTTGCTAAAGTGATCAGAAGAGGCACGATATATTAAGTTTTTATCTTTTTCCTTCTTTTTTCAGCTCGCTCGGCATCTTCGTTATGCTGTACCCTGTTTTCCTGACAATATTTATTTTTTCCACGGAAGAACTGGAGAAGGTCACCATGAAGACAAAGTAAGTCTCCAGAGTTGACACCCGCTTCAAAAAGTTGAAACTGGAGTTGCAAAGTTTTCTTGCTACTCGTTACTAATGGCGCGGCATGCATGAGTGAACAGCAGGATCTTCATAAGGTGCTATATCCAGCGCCTTGCGATTTCGAAAGTCTGACGTTGTCGATTTCTCTTACCATTGAAACCTCATGCACGCTAACACCACTCAGCTGTGCTTTTTTTTCTTTACCGGTCTATGCACACCGTTGAGAAAGAATAGCTGCAGTGACTGTGTGTGTGATGCCTCGTTTCTTTTATCACCGCAGACCGGACAACTTTATCGACCTTGTTATAACCTTGCCAGTGATCTGCTTTGCGTACCAGGTAAGTGCAGCTGTGTATCTAACGTTGTTTGATCTTTCAATTAGGAAAACGTTTTAACCACATGAAGCTGCGTTCTCTGCGTGTTGGCTAGAAAACCATTTGCTAATGTCACTCACACATGCATGATGAAGCAGCCTGAGCTTACTTATTTGCAACTAGCAAACTTGCAGTACGTTACACGCAACTGCGTTAAAGCATTGCGTAGACATATGTGTGGATATTTGTTAGAACGTGAACCAAATTTGTTACGAAACATATTTAAGAGTATTTTGAAAGTATCTGTATACTGTTTAAGTGAATTTATCAACAGTGTAATGTGTAAAGTGCCGAGGAACGCCAATGCAAATCAGCAAACAAACAAATAAAACTATACTGTCATGCAAGCTAAGTGTCGTGCACTATACCTGTCAACTGTTTGAAGGAAAGGAAATGCCTGAAACGTCTATTGATTACTCATATCTTCATTCCGATGCAAGGTCAAGAGTATCGATGGGCTTATTAAAGTGGTCGTGTGCATGTCTGTGCATTTTTGTTAAGAACAGAAAAGGCCCTCTGTATTGATTTACTGGGGAATTTCTACGAAGGCGACTCTTTCTCTGATGCCTTCATCTTCCTGTTCGCTATGTGTTCAATTATGCATCCCGCAAATCTGACTTTCACCGCTTATCAATACCATCGCAAACAAAATAATTCTTCCTGAAGTTTGGGGGAAATTCCGCTGTTTATTTTATCCCAATTCGAATGGAGCCTGCTAAACGAGCTTGTCAGGGCAATTTTTATTAAAAGCATGCTATTTGTTCATCAGGCTACAAAGAGAAAAACATTTAATGAACTTCAGTGTTTCAAGTTTTCCAACACCAAATTACAAGCTTTTCCTCAAGGAGTACAAATTGCAGCTTCTAAGAATTATCGCAAATTCAGATTTTCTTAGTATACCGATTTTACACTGAAATAAACACCTCAGCTAACTCTTTAATAGACCTACGTTTCGTTTTACAGGAAAAAAGTAGTAGGCCTTGTGTTTTTTGGTGGCTTGCGAGTTTTTTTTTTCATCAAGGAAAAAAAAAGAAATACTTAGGGTGCATAAACACGGCACTTAGCTACACCATAAAATATAAAAGTGGCTTATGTTGTCTCGAACGACGCAAATACATTCGAGAATTAGTGAACTTTAACTCGAAACTTAGACCGCATTTACTCTCGTGAAATCATTTAGGTCTCATTCCTGAATCAAAATCGGTATGTGATATTGTTCGTCGAGATCTTCTACTTCTTCAAGCCTTGTGGTCGCACCACTGTAGTGTTCTTTCAGACTGTGGCTTCTTAGTGTAGTCTTTTTTTTTTCTTATAGTAGTTAGGAATTTAACAACTGGAGCTTCTGCTTTCACTTGTTTGAATTTTGACATCATTGCTATAGGCTTATATTTCGCACTGCTTTTTTACTGGATCGGTGCTTTCACATCAACCGTTCTAGTTCGTCACCTCGCGTTGCGAATATGAATGATGCCACTTTGATTTCCGACCATGGCGATTGCATTTCGATGGAGGCTATAAGAACGCTGGCGTGCTTAGACCTAGCTACTTGTTAAAGAACCTTCAGCAGTCAGAGTGCCCCGCCACGGTGGTCAAGTGGCTAAGGTACTCGGCTGCTGACCCGCAGGTCGCGGGTTCGAATCCCGGCTGCGGCGGCTGCATTTTCGATGGAGGCGGAAATGTTGTAGGCCCGTGTGCTCAGATTTGTGTGCACGTTGAAGAACCCCGGGTCGTCGAAATTTTCGGAGCCCTCCACTACGGCGTCTCTCATAATCATATGGTGGTTTTGGGATGTTAAACCCCACATATCAAATCAATATGCAGCAGTCAGAACTTTTCTGGAGGGCCCCCCTGTATGGTCTGCTTTGTAACAATATCGTGGTTTGGCCCGTAAGACGCCATAATTATCTTCCATCAATTCAAAGCTTCTTCAGCGGTACGCATCACTCTTAGCTCATTTTGTATATCTTTCCATTTATCGCTCATATTACCTTTTTGTGCACAGGGGGCTGTCGCGCTATCTTTATTTATTTATTTATTTATTTATTTATTTATTTATTTATTTATTTATTTATTTATTTATTTATTTATTTATTTATTTATTTATTTATTTACTTATTTATTTATTTACTTATTTATTTATTTGTTTATTTATTTATTTATTTATTTAAACTGTAATCCCATGCATGTGAAGGGTTATAGTAGGGTGGCGAATACAATCCTGAGTACAATCGACAACTTCCAGGCAATTATGCCATGGAAAGTATAGGGGATGTTATTATAAGTAATTGTAATGTAATTGTGAAGAAAGAAAATGGACAAAAATAACTGTCCGTGGGCAGGGACCGAACCTATGACCTTCGAATAACGCGTCCGATGCTCTACTAACTGGGCTACCATGGCGGCTATCCCCCCCCCCCCCCCTCGTCTACTTTATAGGGTATGCGCCTTGTTGCCATTGAGGCGCATGTGAGACGCTCATTTTCACCACGAAGCACGTCAACTTATTACGAGCTGGTAGCTGACGAATAATCTTGCGCGTTATTCGCCGGTCGCAGGTTTGGTCCCTGTCCACGGCAAGTTCTTTTCGTCCTCTTACATTTCTTCACAATTACATTGCAATTACTTCTAATAACAACCCCAGTACTTTACTTGGCATCATTGTCGGTCACTTGTCGTTAATATTGTCTCTAACAAAGAAACCGAGCCCTCAAATGTACCCTTCTTTTCTTCAGTGGTGAGTATTGCCACACAAACATATGCAGGCTGTATCAGCTAAAAAGCACCAAGCAAAAAACAATTAAAAATGAATGCTACGCGTCTCCAGCTAGCGCAGTATAGTTTTTAACTGTATGTAGTGTGTCAGAATATTTTTTAATCTTCAAGCACAGCAATTAACAAAGATTGCTTAATTAATTTTCTAAATACTGACTAGAGAAAAAAATTCAATACAAGACTTGTTGACCTTATCCAGAGCTACCAAAACTTTCAAGCTATGGTAAGATAACAATGCTGGTCAACTTTTTCCAGGGTTTGATTAAAATGCGCAAAATGCAAAAAATACCACGTGATTGCCGCCTAACGCGCGGCGCTTTGAGTGCCTCCGAATGTAAATTGAACGAATTAGTGAAGGCTTCTCACGCACGAAGCTCGCTTGAACAGGCTATCGGTGACTACGATGGGCATTCAGCAATGGTTGGATGGTACCATTAAAAAAAAAGGGGGGGGGGGGGGGGCGTAATACAGAAACGAAGACAATAAACTTCGACGATAAAGTGGCTGCCAAGTGCATTGCGATACGAGACCGGATGCAGCATTCAGCGCAGTGCAGACGTTTTTGTTTTTCTTTTTGGGCCCACGATAAACATGGTGGTGGGGGAGAGGATGAAATTTTGATAACAGAAGGATATAAAAAAAGCTCGATCAGAATATGTGGTGCACAATTTTTTTTTTTTTTTGACACGCTTCGACAAGAGAAAGTCTTGGTCTGGAACGATGCGTTTCACTAATAAACGTGCGAATATAGTTCTCGGCAAAGCGAACGGAAACAGGAGAGAGGCGGCAAGATTATTTCGCAGATGGCACCCTGTAGTTCGGGTAAATAGTTCGACATTGGTGCGAAATTACGAAACGCTCAAGGAGACAGGCACGTTCAAAAAGCAGCGTCAGTGCACAAAAGGTGTGGCTGAGTCTCTTGAAACAGACATTCTTGATTACATCACAGCACATCCCCGCGCAAGCGTGCGCGACGTGAGGGCTGAAACTGGCGTTTCTAACAGTATAGTGTTTGGCGCGTACTCAAGTGTGCAGGACTTCGCCCCACAGCGGTGGTCTAGTGGCTAAGGTACTCGGCTGCTGACCCGAAGGTCGCAGGATCGAATCCCGGCTGCGGCGGCCTTATCTCCGATGAAGGCGAAAATGTTGCAGGCCCGTGTGCTTAGATTTGGGTGCACGTTGGTCGAAATTTCCGGAGCCCTCCACTACGGCGTCTCTCATAATCATATGGTGGTCTTGCGACGTTAAACCCCACATAAAAATCAAGAGCGGAGGACTTCACCCATACCATGTTCACCTGCATCAACAGCTGGAAGACTGAGATCTGCAAAGCAGTCTTGAGTTCCGCAATTGGATACTCATACAGGAAGAAGGTAATCCTCGCTTCCTGAAGAACATAATCTGGTCCGATGAAGCTCGCTTCTCGCGCAATGCCCAAGTCAATGTTCACAATGGTCATTACTGGAGCTCTACAAATCCTCACTGGCTGTTGTAGTCACAACACCAGGTGCAGTGGCTTTTCAGTGTTTGTTGTGGCATTTACGACGGCAAATTTATTGGCCCAGTATTTTTCAATGGAACACTCACCGCAGATCGCTACATCAGTGAAATACTAAATGGTCCGCTGAGTGTCTTCACCTGCAACCTCTACCTGCTTCCAGCAAGACGGAGCTCCTCCGCACTGTTCCGCGCGGACTCGAACGTGGCTTGATCGGGAATTTCCAGAGAAATGAATCGTCCGGCCGTCTTAACCATATAAGACTCCGCTAGATTTCATTCTATGGGGATACATAAAGGCCACTTCTACTCCGAAACAACGACAACGCCCGTGAGACTGAAGTGAAAAATAGCAGATGCGTGCCGCTCTATTACTCCGCGAATGCTACGAAACCCGACAGAAAATGAGCCGACTCGATGTAGATTGTGTATAGGGGCTGATGGGGGGGGGGGGGGGGGGGGGTTGTACGAGCACGCTATGTAACTGCCCGTGTCGTCTCAATGAAAGTGCTTTGGACTTCGCAATACGCTGACCTCATTCCAACACCTAGCTTTCCTACTATTAAAGAGATAGCTATAAGAGCACAGAACATTTTCTTATTCATTCTGTTTATATATACGCACTGTGCTCTAACATACGGGTACTGAAGATGAATTTCGATATGAGACGAAGTACGAGCAATAAACTTTTGAACCCACAGCCAATCGTGCCGTATTTCTTGCAAGTATCTGCTAGAACAATCGACGTAATCGATGCACATATGACCAAAAAAACTGAAATAATTACCGCAGAACTTTTTATATTCTTCCTTTATCAAAATTTCACCCTTTGCACCACCATCATGTTTATCGTGGACCCAAAAAGAAAAAAAAAAACATCTGCACTGCGCCGAATGCTGCCTCCGGTCTCGTATCGCAATGGACTTGGCAGCCGCTTTTTCTTCGAAGTTTATTGTCTTCGTTTCTTTCTTTCGCCACCCTCTTCCTTTTTTTGATGGTACCAACCAACCATCGCTTAATGTCTATTGTAGTCACCGATAGCCTGTTCAAGCGACCTTTGTGCGTGAGAAGCCTTCGCTGAATCGTTCAGCTTACATTTGAAGGCACTCAAAGCGCCGCGCGTTACGCGGCAATCGCGTGGTATTTTTTTTTTAATTTCGCGCACTCTAAACAAACCCTGCAAAAAAATTAAGCAGCGTTGTTATCTTACCGTATCTTGAAAATTTTGTTATTTCTGGATAAGAGCTACAAGTCTTGTATTGAAATTTTTTCTAGCCGGTATTAAAAAAGTTCAACAAGCAATCTTTGTTGTTTACCAAGCTTGGCGAATAAAAAAAATATTGAGGTGCTACATACAGCTAAGAACAATACTGCGCTAGCTGGAGATGCGTAGCACCCATTTTTAATTTTTTTTATTGCTTGGTGCTTTTTAGCAGAAACACCCTGTATACATGGCCATGGTTATGAAATGTTTTCAACTTTGTCGTTCATTTTTCTCTCCCTTTCAAACTAACAGTAACAGTTCCATTATTATCGGTGAATTGGTGCTTTTGATTTAAAATTAAATAGGCTGTCTTCAACCTGTGCTCATCCGTGGCTTTGTTTAGGCTGGACATTCGTTCTGATAACAAGGCTCGAACTTTAAGATGTTAGCCATGATGTAACCTAGATATTATTGGGGCTGAAAATTTCTATTCCTGCGTGCTAATAAGTACACGGAAGCAAATAAACAAATAACGAACTCTGGGGATGTGTTAGTCTTGTGTTTAGCATATCGAGTGCTATAGTACTGGCCACTCCACAATCATGTTCACGTGTTGGGCCTCTGCTATTTTCGCTGCGTCTTTTTGTCCACACGTGCTATTTCTCGCTGCTTTTTAATCTGTTTAAACCTATTTTTCTAGCGTTTTTATTTAAAAAAATATTTTTTTGCCTGGTAAGAGTAAGATACACAAGGTGGTCGACTGTATTTTTTAAAGTAAAGTTTTTAAGCTCTTTGCTTTGGTTAGATAGCCGATCCTTCGTCGGCTTAATTTTTCATGGCTGTGCTGCTCACAAGTGTGTCCTGTCTTCGCAGGCGCACGAGGTGGTCGTCCCCATCTATGCGAACATGCGTGACCGGCGACTGGCGAATCTCGCTAAGGCAACGATCCTGACCACCGTCTTCCTGTTCGTCATCTACACTCTCATGGGCACATTCGGCTACATGGCCTACGGCTCGAAGGTCAAGCCGGACATCATGCAGATGTTCGATGCATCCAATCCGTGGGTCCTGTTCGGCATCGGCGCTCTCATAGTCAAGATGGTCACCACGTACCCACTGCTCACCTTTTGTGGTCGGTGGGTGCTCAGTTTATCCGTTTGTCATTCGCCGACCTATTCCGCCAAAACTAGCATGGAGGAGATGAAAACCCAAAAATCTGTAAATTTAGATTCATCAAGCATGACTTCGCAACGTTTTCTTTTCCTTTTTTTTTTTTGTTGACACACTCGTGATGGTCCTCGAGGCTCAGCCTATCTGCAATAACGTCTTTGAACCCGCCTGTCCACGCATGTCACTCCTGGTCAATCAGTTTTGACTGATTGATTGATTTAATTAATGTAATTGATTGATTGTATTTGATTGTGTTGTAAGTGATCGTGTTGTGAAAAAAAAAGGCGAGACGCTTATAGTCGCCGTGCTTTTTTAACGAAGAAAAAAAAAATAAAACATTCGCACTACTATAATGCAATGCCGGAAGGAACAGCTAAAGTGAGCGGCCTTTATTCTTTCTGTTTATTAACGCGATAGCATTGAAGAGCTCGTTTTGTGGGAATAACGGTGTCGGTGTCGTTGGTTGAGAGCGAGATATCTTGTACGTGACTGAAAAATTGAGATTCTAATAAAATAAATGATAAATACATTCTGTTCGAGCAAGAATCTAACCCAGGTGGTTTACGTGGCAAGCAGGCGATCCACCACACAGCTAAATTACATTTATAAACACTTGGTGGAGTCCCCCATGCGATAAAATGTTTCAGCTAAATTGACTAGTCCTTGCAACTGTGCACGCATGACGCTGCGATGGACGGCGCCTAAAGAGCCCGTCGGCCCGACTCAATGGAACATTTCGTGCCTGCCTCTGTGTGCAGGGGAGCATTCGACGGCCTGTACGCAGAGCTCACGAAGCTTCCGACGAAGGAATTCATCGAAGGGGAGCCGCGGAGGCGCATCTTCATCACCACCGGCTGGTTCTTGACTACCGTCGCGCTCGCCACTTTTACGTCCAACGTTGGCGTTGTGATCGAACTGCTGGGCTGCTTGGCCGCTGCCAACATCTTTATCTTTCCAGGTAAGCTTAATGTCGCTCCCGTCTTCATGCGCTTACCGTTTTTGCGATGTCGCTGTACCAACTAGCTCGGACCAATGTCGTACCAATGTCGCTGTAACACAGCGTCCGAGCCGCATGCGGACATTTCGGTAGCGGCCCACGGCTTCATAATAAGGTTTTTTGGCTTGGCTAAATAGCACTCAGGTTATTTTCTCCTCTTTCGAGATTAATCAATCTTTCTTCGGGTGAGCTACACAGAGAAAACTGATCTCAAGCTCTGTTTTTTAGGCATCCTATGCGTTCAAATTGTGTTGAAACATCACTGTTGCAACAAATCCGCATTTCAAAATGTGCGCCCAGATTTTTTTAGCTCATCTGATGGTCAGTATCGATACGTTTCTGAAATTTGCATTTTCGATGGAGGCGAAAATGCTGTAAGCCCGTGTGTTCAGATTTGGGTGCACGTTAAGAAACCCTAGGTGGTCGAAATTTCCGGAGCCCTCCACTACGACGTCTCTCAATCATGGGGCTTTTGGGACGTTAAACCCCGCATATCAATCAAAATCATCAATGCTTCTAAAATCCTGACGTCAGATCTCCATCAGAAATTATTCGTATGTGAAATACGGGAAAGTTGTTAAGTTTATGTGAATTTTTATTCACTCCCCCCCCCCTTCCACTCCCCACCTTCTTCACTGGCCCGGCCCGTCTGGGCGTAAACTTCGAGCTGCTGCAGCCCGCTAGCTCAACTGAGTTCGAGACCCCTAATGTAGGAAATTCTGTGTTCTGCAACATTACTCTCGTGGCAGGTGGCCGTAGTGATGATGCTGTAGCAACCCGTGATTTGTCGTCTCCGTATACGTTTTTCTGAGCCATGCACTAACGCGAAGTGGTTTTACTTGCAGGTCTCTGTCTTATTGGCGTGTTCCACCAGCAAGACAAATTCCTCCTGAGGCGACCCATGGCGGTGTTCGCCATCGGTGCTGTCATGGTTGTCATCGGCAGCTTCGTCTTTGGTGTGGTGCTGCTCAATACCATTATGCACGACATCACCAAAGGCGGTTCGCATCACTTGCTTTGTACGTGACTGCGTCGGCTACCTCTCGGTGCCTGTGTACATTTTGTACAGAAGTGTGATGAGTGCGCCACATTTTACTGAGGCCTCTTAATGTTTCTTTTTGTTCTTTTAATATTTTTACACCTTAAAGATCTGTAACTTAAGCGTCGCACGAACATCGATTTTACTGCTTGATCTTGACCGGCATTGTTTTCAGATCGAGGCCATGTTCTCGTGAGAAATAAATGCAATCGCAGTTTGTTTACAAACGTTCAGATTGCTTGGCGTCTTGTACCTGCTTTATCACGACTTCTCTGTAGTGTGTCCCGTTGTGCATAACTCCGGAACAACCACACGTACGGGATGCGTAAAACGCTTACCAAACCAATTTGAGGTCATGAAGACAATCAAAACAAGACTATGACCACGATAAAGGCAAATAAAAGCAAGATCTATCGGCCCCCGGCCCTCCCCTACGGGGGCCGGAACGTATTGTCTTGCTTTTATTTGATTTTATCGTAGGCAGCATCTGGTTTTGTCTGTACCTGACCAGATGGGTTTCCATCTAAATTCGCGGTCCGGTGAAGTGCGACTCGGCGAATGACTTAAAATGACGACATTCAGCAAGCTTGGTAAGAAAACAAAATAGCCTCGTACATCGTGTCTTTATCTGTCTTCACAGAGCACAATTTCTGTCTTGCCCTGTATGCAATGCAAGATATGTCCATTACGTTAGAATTAGGTAGCAGCTTCACTTAAAAGGCGAAGCATTGGTGCGAACGCTGGTCCAGAAGTCTTGCGTAGTTTTGTGCGGTATGGGTTGGAGCTAACAGCTGATGTGCAAAAATAACCTTTCGAGAAAAAAGTGTCGGATGACTTTAGGTGTGCTCCACGTTTTCAAAGCGTGGAAAGACTGCCACATCGCGCAATCTACAGGGGACCCAAGTACTCTGGTCCTTAGCTCGCTCCAGTCATGGCATGAGGAGCTGTAGGGACTAGAGTTCTTAGGCCGCTCTTCTGGAAGAAGGTACCTAGCCTCTAGCTTTGTCCTGCGCGTACTCTTTTTCATCGACTCGCACCAAGAATGACGTCATGGTAGATTAGTCGTTTCAAGATTGACGCGCGCCAATGGTGTCGCTATTCATCCACTCCGCAGTTACCGAAGCGACAGTATGTTTCGCAGAAACACGCCTTTCTGGTAGCTTGCTTGCGGTGCTCGTAAGCATCACTTTTTAGGATTTAGAGTTGTGTTGTCGCATTTTATCGGAGTTTTTTCATTTCTTTGGAAAAAAGTCAAAATGAATGTGTGAAACCCCGTTTGAATAAAGGGCCGGTTCAACCCACTTGCATACAAGTCATATGTATCGGAGAACAGAATCCAACATTGACTACACCTTATAACAGGCATGAAATTCAAACACCCATGATTTTATTCGTGCTGCAGTGGAACATAAAACACGCCTGAACTGTGGGGATTTTAAACAAGTATACATTTAAACACTGCAGTGGTATTTAGTATCAAAGGCAAGGAATTTCGTATTTAAGGGGAAAAAAACTGACATGGTGCAAAGAGTACGGTGGCAAAGTAAAGAAACAAGCTGACACACGGGTGCCGGGAATTTCAGTTTTATATATAGTTCACTTCTCTAGAAGCTCATTCTCAACTTTCATGCCTGCTAAATGAACTAACCGTTCACCGTAGAGGTTGACAATTTCCCCAAGTTCAAATTGCAGCTAGGAGCTCAGCATCTGTCACTGTAAGAATAACTTTGTAATGTTACTGCAGATTAGTATTGTATATTGTTTATTATGATGCGCGTCTTACGAGTTCTGTTTCTAGTGACATATAGATAAAAAAACCACTCTTCAAAAGATAACAATATCTTTGGTTTAACTTCCTAAAACCAAAAAATTACGAGGGATGCCGAAGCGGACGGCTCCGGAAATTTCACTCCGGTGGTCTTTAACGTGCCCTGACATCGCACACGAACGTGGGCCTCTACCATTTCATCTCCATCGAAATGCGATCACTGCGGCCGGCATCGAACCCACGACCTTCAGTCCAGCAGCCGAGCACCGGAACTGCTATACCCACCGCAGTGGATCCTCTTCAAAGGAAACTTGAACACAGGTGTAAAGTAGAATGAAATTTATAGCACGTAATGTCCACTTATGTAAGAACAATAAGCATACGTTATGCGTAGCGTTGTAATCAATGTTCGCCAAGATGTAAAAAAAATAAAATGTTGGTGCGTTGCCTTACCAGTCATCTACCTTGACCAGGGCAGTTTCTTAGGGCAAATTGTGGGTTATTGGTTTATTGAACTTGTCGACCACTGACTTAGGAGTGTCAATTGCTAAAGTCGTTACTGCATTCGAAATTATTCCAATGAGTAGTTTTCAGTGCAACATGTCCTGCGTAATTGCACATGTGTGCTTTAGTCGCATACAGGGCATCGAATAGGAAAATTGATGTGTGGCTAGGCGCCCATGCATTGAAACCAGTGGACCTGAAGTTGTTTACCAAGCGAATCAGGCAATGAATTCATTCCCTCAATCTTTCCGCGTATAGGCTCTAATAGTCATGCAAAGCGGGCAGAAAACAGCCGGTAGCCAGCACACAATGCGACGAGTGATTTTCATTGTCATCGAGATGCGGTCTCATTCAATGTACGATTATGTACCCAAGGAAGGTTATGAGCACTGGTCAATACTCTTAGCTAGTAATTTTGCATGGTTAAAAATAATTGTCGGGGTGTAACGACCGGAAACCACGATATGATTATGAGGGACGAAGTAGTGAACTCGGGAAGTTTAGACCATCTGGGGCTCTTTTAACGTGCACCTCAATCTAAGTACGCAGGCCTCAAGCACTTTCGCCTCCATGTAAAATGCGGGTCGGCAGTCTATAGCAGCACTATAGACCATTGTGTTGGGTATTTCTCATAAATATTCAACTGCATTATATTATGGCGTGTGAGTTAATGGCATGTCGATACATATTCGTTACCTCTGTACCCAGAATTACAGCTCAGTGGCTCAAGTGGTGGATTGCTAAGGTCGACGACGCGGGTTTGATACCCGGCCAATAGGCGGCCACGTTTAGCCATAGTGTCAGTTTCACCGGGAGTGATCGTCTCATAAAAGGAAGTGAAGCTCAAAATGCATCCACGCACTTTTCTTTATACGCGCGTTAAAGAACCAAAGTCGGTCAAAATAAATCCGGAGTTCCCCGCTCTGCAGCCTGCTTCATAATCATCGTTGTCCTGGCGTGCGTAAAGCCTCATATTCACCGCGTGTACCAACCCAGTGGCATGAGCTCTCGGTCACTGCCAATTCATGGCTCACCTTCGCATGTAGCAGGGAGTCGCAAGAACCATTGGAAGGATAAATGCAAGCATGACACGACGGTCACGTTGTGTGTTTTTAAAGACGATAGTCTTTCTTGGGGACCTTCGACGCAAAAATTTTGGTCTGTCTGTACACTTGTCTGTTTGTCCACTCTTAATGGTACTGTAAACGGCACCAAACGATACTCTAAACGGCCGACCCCATACGCAGCGCCCACCAATATTGCTCAAGGTTCAGCATTCATACTTGTGTGATCGTCAATTAAAAAACAATTGTTGCGCATATCTGAGGCACCATAACAACACATGATTACTATGTACGTGTATTTTTTACTAGAAAAGGCATACATAAGTAATTCTAAGGAGCGTAGCGTTTCTCACGCTGCGCTGACCAGGCAACGCTTGCACGAAAAGGCAAGTGTTTCCAACGCTTTGCTAAAACGACACGGCGGTAGCACCTACCCGTCACCTTGCGTTCTACACCTTACCGCCTCAGAGACGGGCGCGTACGCCGCGCGCTCCGTTTTCCAGGATAACTGCCAGATAGTGCTCATGTCGCACGTGTGACGTGACTTGATGCGCTTGTTCGCCTCCGTTGCACGCTCGAGGCACTTTAACGCAGCGCCTCCAGAATACCATTCACCAAATTTCTTGCGCAGAATAACAAACGTTTTGTTCACTCTCTCCAGACGCAAGACTGTCGTCTTTCGACGACATTTGCAGTGTAACATGCAGATACGGGGCAAATTTCTTCTTCTCCGTCTTTCTTTATTCACTTTTTTTTGGCTGGGGGTACAACCATGGCCACCATCAAACAAGCGCAACCTTCAGGCTTCCAATATTTTAGACACCGCGTGCTGTGATTGCCGCGCCGCATACTTGCAACTTGCTGTCGCGAGCTTGCGCACGTCACGTGAGATCGTGTGACGCATGCTTCACTCACGTGCGGCCAGCAGGGTCTGCCATTGATGTCACTCCCCGTGTACGAGCTGGGCGCGCGTTCTCAAAATGAAGAAGTTTTATCGAAAGAAGCATTCGGTGCCCCCGTGGTCTTCGAGGTGCAGCTACTACCCTTGAGAAGTACCAGCCCGAGTCGGCGTGATCTGAAAATGAGTGAACCGCCAACAGTGAAGGAAATTGGCGAAGTAGCGTCGTGTTCGGATGCCACCGAAGGTACCGTGCATGTTTTCTTCCATCAAAATTTCGAAGACGTGTTTTGATACGATCACTTTCGGCGACACTGTTACATTAGCGAAATTTCCCGAGATAGGCGTCGGTGCCTACGACTGACAGTGTTTCGTTCCCACCGTCTTGGAAAGATTGACAGCACGCCACACTGACGTGGCCTGTGGACGGACAAAGACATCCGTTGCTGGTCTCGTGAAATCAAGCGTGACTGACAGTGTCGCCGAAAGCGACTGTTACGTGACGTGAAGGGACGACAAGCACAAATGTCAGGCGAAACCATGGTAATCATGACATGGAAGTCATGTACGACATAATTCATGTCCGCGTCATAACTTTATGCTGATTTTAAAGTGACATATCAACCTCCCTCATTTGCGTTTCGCATATCATCGATCCTCACTGTACGTGGGATCTGTCAATTTTTTTTAGTTATAAATGGGTAATAGTTTAACTAAACCAACTTATAAAACTGCTTGAAATGAATAATGATTGGTGGCGGCCTGTAGACACCCACATATTGACAATAATTGTCGTAGTGTTACGTCATAAGGACGCAGACGCAAATTTGACCATCTGGTGGTTATTTATTCATTTGTTTATTTTTTATTACCCTCAGGGCTTACAAGAAGCGTTACGGAGGGGAGGGGCTACATCAATAGTGGATTATAAGGCACGTAAAAAACGGGGAACCTGCAAAAATAAACTAACAGCAAAAAAGGCAAGAGCCAAGACACGCATGTTACGGTACAATAAC